CCCGTCGTCGTCAGCTGATCCAGTCAAACTGGTCCAGGAGGACGCAGCGAGCGTTTTTAAAAGTAAATCTTCCTTCGTTCCGTTTCAAAATGTGGAAGATTCCCGACGCATACCGTAAGTAAAAAGCTGCGGGCGTTTTCAACAAAATTACGTCGTTTTAATTGAATAATGAACTCCGAATTGTTGTCCTAAATCTGCTGTTTTAATGCTTCGTGTTGTACTGCGTTTGCACAGCGACGTGTTGCGCTCATCATGCGGTTTGAATAAATTTGGGCAAGATTTCCTACCTGCCCACAGGTGCATAAACTGAGACCATTTTTTTACGTAGTGAACATACTGCTTTTTTTTTATTTTGGGAAGAGGCGTTGTGCATTTATTACGGTACAATCACTTGAAAGTTCAGAAATTGGAGAGGGCGAGCAAGCTTTCCGAACTTTGTCTCCTTGCTCTCTGGCACTGCCCCTAGATTCAAGTTTCAGTAGATATACCTACTAGCAGGTAAAAACTGCTCTAAAGCCGGTAAAGGGCTGGGAAGATCGGGACGGTGCGGACTCCGTGTTTCGCGCTTTTCGCAAGGTGACTGAGGAAGTGCTTTTGCAAGGTATGCGGAATATGCAACCGATTTTGTTATGCCCGTTGTTTGCGTCTCTCCAGCAAAACGAATACGATAATCTACAAAGCCGCGATCACAAGCCAACATTTACGATAACAGTACATATTCATTCAAACAACTTACGTAAGATGGTTCGAAAGCCGAGAAAAAAAATTTGTCGGCTAACGCAGAATTCGAACGTCCGAGGGCTTCTGTGGACAGCTATTACGTAATCACCTGGATGTGCCAGGTTTTTTAAGTAACAGCTGGTGTCTGGTCGCGGACGTTCGATGCCCCCGGGGCACCCGATGCGAATCTCGACGCCCTCCGGAGCGATGTGACAAGAACGTAACTGGGCACGTTTGTCGCTACGCGAACGCTCGATTGCCTCGAGCCAGCCGGATTTCGGGGCGACATGACTGCTGGAAGGCTCGCTGTCGGGATCACTCATTTGAAATCTCCGAAAAGTCAGCATTTGCACGCGCAAGCGCCAAAACCAAAAAAAAACAAACAAAAAAAAACACGCTAAGCAAGCAAAGAGGAAAACGAAAGAACCGCGCTATGAAAGCCAAAACCCCGCATCGCTTCCTATCACTAACACATGCGACAGCTGCTAAACACACACTACTTCACTTTAAGAAGTCTCATTCAAGCACCTGGGTCAGCACGAAACACTGATCACTTCGGCGAAACGATTAGTCGAGGTAGGCGAGACAGGCGGTAGCGGAGACTTCGGCGGCCATGAAACAATGGCGAAGCTTTTGTTTGTTATAGTATGAATCCAAACAGAAGTGCCCGTCTTGTAAACCTTTTGTAAAGAATAATAACTCTCATCACATGGGTTATTTTTTAAACGTAAAAATATGCTACTCAAAAGGAAATTGCAACATATAACAAAAGATTTACGTAGCTACTACAACCATCTTTTTGACTCAGAATGTATGAAACACTCGGACTTAATTTGGAAGAGGCTTGGTGCTCTCTTAGGTAAAAAAAAAAAATTGTACTAAAATAGAATCTTTAAGTATTGATGGAATAGAAAAATCTGGTTCTGCACTTTCAGATGCTTTCAATCATTATTTTGTTAACGTCGGGTCAGGAACTTACTGTAGTGACGCAGGAAATAATATACCAAGAGTTTCTGAGACAATATTTTTTTATCCTGCCGATGAACACGAAGTTTATGCGGCGATGGCTAATTTACACAACAACAACAGTTGCGATGTTGATAACATAAATATTAAACCTGTTAAACTTGTCATAGATATCATTGTGCCTTGTTTAACACATATTTACAACCTTGCTCTGACATCAGGAATATTTCCCTTGGGTATGCAGACCGCGAAAGTAATAGTATTGTTCAAGAAAGGAGATAGAAATTGCATAGGGAACTACCGACCTATTTTTATTCTTCCCATTTTCTCAAAAGGCCTCGAAAAAATTCTGCACACGCGAATTACAAATTTTTCAAATAAGCATAAACTCCTAACTGACTCTCAATTTGGTTTCAGGAAATTCAGGTCAACCGAGTGTGCACTCTTACACCAAAAAGAGATAATACTGGACAATTTAGAAGAAAAGTTGTCAACAGTCGGTATATTTTTAGATTTCAGTAAAGCGTTCGACTGTCTTGATCATGGTATTCTTTTAGATAAATTATTTTCATATGGTTTTCGGGGTGTTTCTTTTTCTTTGTTAAAATCATATTTTCAAAGTCGTCGGCAATATGTTTCAATCAACGACCATATGTCCTCTTTGCTAGGTATTAATTCTGGTGTTCCCCAGGGAAGCATTCTGGGACCACTTCTATTTCTTTTTTATATTAACGATATTGTAACTATTGACCCTGATGTAAATTTTATAATTTACGCAGACGATACGAGTATAATCATTTCTGATAAAAATTATGAACATCTTGTTACCAGAGCAAATATTGTTCTATCTAAATTAAAATGTTGGTGCGAAATTAACTCCCTCCATATAAATACTAATAAGAGCAAGGCTGTAATATTTCAACTACATTCTAGAACTCAAACAAATTTATTACTTCCTTTCAAATATGGTTCTGATATTATTCATTGTGTTGAAAATGTCAAAACTCTGGGTATATTTTTTTCCTTTAACATGTCCTGGTCTGAACATGTTAAATATGTTCGTACTAAACTTTCGAAAATAGTTGGAGTAATAAACAAATATAGAAACATTTTACCTACCAATAGCAAACTTCAAATTTTTAAATCATTATTTTTCCCCGTCTTAGGATACGCGCATCTGATATGGGGATCCACTGGTTTAACCAACTTAAATTTGCTCCGCGTGCTGCAGAAAAAAGCTCTTCGTGCAATAGCCAATGTTCCTTCGACCTCACCATCATTGCCTCTCTTTGATAAATTTTCCATAACCGACGTGTCAAAACTTTACAGTCAACGCTTAATATTAACGTACCAATCGGCCCTAAAAGGTAAATCCGAAACATTTCTGAACCTTGCTGACCTTCATTTGCAAATTCCAATTTATCAAACCCGTCAAATACATCCATGGCAAATACCAAAATCACGTACGAACTTTGGACATCAAAGAATTAAACATGCACTTCCTCACTTACTAAATCATATCGCATCGCTAGAAATTGATATCACTTCACTTAATAAATAGCATCGTTAACATTGTATAAAAAAAAGCACATTCTATGATTTATTATTATTGTATAAAAATGCACATTGTATTGTTTTTCTAGATTGATTTGTTTATTAAATGATCTCTTGTTTCGTTGTCTGCCATGTAGGGGTGCCAGGGGCTCGTCAAGCTGCATATAAGCAGCTTTTTCCCTTGGTATCCCCCATCATGAGATGGAAAATAAAAGCTGACTTGATTTGATTTGATTTGATTTGATAACCACCAAGATCTAAGCTGTCAATCAATCTCTTAGCCAAAGAGAAGTATAGCTGCCGGTTGGGATTCAACGTCACGGAATCCCAACTTCGTGGCGCGCGATTTAAAACGGGCAAACTAGCCGCAAACTAAAATCAGTCTCACATAATAAATATTGCTGTAAAAAAATGTTTTTTTTTTCTAACGGAAAATTTGTTTTTTGACATGCTTGGCCCAATTAAGCTGTTTAAAAATAACTTTTTTTTTTTTTGCAGTTACCCTTTAAATCGGCTCAGCCAATGAGAAGGGGGATTGGTATTTCCTTCCAATTTCCACGCTGTCTCAATTGCGGAGCGACGCAATCACTATTGGGCACGATCCGCCGCAAAGCGAGACAATCACCATCTGGCACCATATCACTCGCCCTTATCACCCCTTGATGAGAGCGCCAAACTAGATTCTGAGACCGACCGGACCGCCTGGGTCAGCGTCCGGCGTTCAAATTTCCGAGAATTCGTCGGGATTTCTGACAAGGGCGGAGCTATGCGGAGCCCAAGTTGGTCTGCTTCTTTTGCAGGGTTTGCGGTGAAATCAGAACGACGCCAATCTCTGATTGGCTCTGATTGAAGAATAGCGGGTAGTCCTCAAAGCAAGCTGCCTTGACGTCTACCCACTATCCTCCAATCAGGGCCCATCGGAGCTCGGCGTTCTGACGTCACCGCAACCCCCGCAAAAGAAGCAGACGAACTTGGGCTCCGCATACTCTTTCAAAATTCACGGGACACAACCGACAACCCATGTACACGTTTAACGAAACCTCTAATTGGTTATACGCTGCCGCTGCTCTTTTCGATTCATTTTATACAGTGCTTGAGGATGAGTGACATCCCTCTAGCCGATGACCGTCTAAGAGGCGCGGAGCATCATTCATTTTGTTCACGCACCTTGACTTTTGATTCGTCGGGGAAAGGCCGCCATCTCGTTGTGCTCCCGAGCGATGATAACAGGCGCTCGAGAATCACGACACCCCGTGTTTCTTAAACTGTCATTGACGACAATATATACTGTCGAGACCGGTTATAACGAAGTCGGTTATAACGAAATAACGCCTACAGCGAAGCGATCACGATTTCCCCTTCCCTTTTGCAGTTCGTTATAACCGTAGTCGGTTATAACAAAATAGCTGTTACAGCGAAGTGATCCCGATTTTCCATTGCCTTTTGCACTTCGTTATAACCGAGTCGGTTGTAGCGAAATAGTGGCTACAACGATGCGATCACGATTTCCTATTCTCTTTTGCACTTCGTTATAACCGAGGTCGGTTATAACGAAATAGCGAATATAGCGGAACGATTTCCCATTCCCTTCCGCACTTCCTTAGCCAAAATCGATTTTAACAAAATAACGGATATAGCGAAGGGATTTCCGATTTCTGTTGACTTCTTTATAACCGGTCTCGAGAGTATCTGTGTGCTTCGGAACAGCCGGGGTCAATCAGAGCTTCGCGCATCTCCAAGTCCGCCTGCCGTAGATAGCTTCACCTGGGGTTTTCGGGCGCCGCAGCTTCCGTGTTCGCAATCAGAAGCTTCGACCGGTTGTCCGGACTGTAGCTGTAAATGAGCGGGCCCCTTCCGCCCGCGTAGATGCCGCTGCCTAATGTTCCGGTCAGAGGCCTCTGAACCCCTGCCGCGAGGAGCGGCACTCCGTGCACCAGGGACCAGGCTTGCTGGACGGCAACCGAATAGATTCCGGGCAAAGTATCGTACCTGTGTGTTTATTATTTAAAAAAAAAATAACAATAAACCTTTTTGTAAAACCTTACAATAGCGTGCTTTTTTTTATGCGACTCGAGATGTTCAGGGTGCATATATACTCTCGAGCATATTCGTTCGACCATGCCCTCCGAGATTCTTGGCGCCCTGAAAACTCTCCTCTTCACTCTCAGAAATAGGGGGTGTAGTACTTACACCCTTTATCCCATATACGAGTATTACACCCCAAAACTTCAGTTAGACGTACAGCGAACTGACGTCGAAACGAAGGTATCAATGTTCCCGTGCGGCTGGATAGCCTAGTAGTACAGCTTATTAAAAACAGCTAATGGAAGTGTCACTGTCTCAAAAAGAAAACATGAATTAAGGTTTTTTTTCGCCCTACTGCCAAACATTTTCTTTTTGTAGTCTTTGATACGTACTTTAGCTGTTTTATAAGTTTTATTCGCAACATTATGAAGCCCCTCAACAAAAAGTTGGAGCCGTCAGTTTGTCGGCAGCACGCTGAGCGTTGAATTTAAGTTCTGGGGTGCGTTATGTAAGATAAATGTAAGACCACACACTTCTTTTTTTTTTTTTTTTTTAGTGCAATAATTTTGTTGTTGTTTTTTTTTTTTTTGGAGAGACTGAAATAGCGAAAAAAACATAGCTCGCGGCTGTTTACGCCGCGCGGTGCCGCTAGGTTCAGATCCACAGCCGCAAATCGTCATTAATATCATCATCCTCATCGGGCTTGCTTGGCTTGCAAAAAAATTAAAAATACGCTCGTTTGCTCCGATTATATTCGCCGCTTCTTTCAGTGCTCACCACAACACACCATGCAATTTCAAGCAAGCGGTCCGTCGAAATTCGAGTGTTGCTTTTTCAAAATCGCAAAAAAGATATCGGATAGATGCACACCTCATTGTTTTCAGGCAAACTGTGCGTCCAATTGTTTCGACCAAAAAATAGTGTCGAAGAAATGCCGAGTCTTCGCAAAGTGTCTGACCCAAAAATGCAAATTCCTTCGTGAGACTGAGTAGGCGAAACGTGGTGCTCATTATTCCTTCCAAGATCGCGTTACTCATTGAAGCTATCTGAGAGGTTCTTTGGTCTCGTCATACGCTTGGGACTTCAAGTTACATTGCTTATTTTGCGATAAATCTGTACGGTTCATTTTACTCACCCTTTCGGTTCTGTCTTTCGTCGCGTTTTTCTCGAGTGTTGCTCGGACGCCGTCTCGCCATTGCTTTGCTATGGGCGGAGCGATGGCGAGATTGGCATCGGAACAGTGCAAGCCTACTGCTCCCATGCCAGAACAGTCGGCGTATACTCATTGTCCAAAGACAATGAGTAAAGGAAGAAACTTCGAGAATCCGTAATGATTCGTAGGTCCCTGCGTGTCTAAACAGATAATGGAATATATTCATTCACAGGGTTAGAACGGCAGAACTTATGAGACAGTGCTCTGGACGTTCGGAAGCTGGCGCTGGAGGCAGTGTCACTGAAAGGTACTTACTTCTCTCTCGTGCTCATCTTGTCGCTGATTATAGCTGGAGTAAAACCCCACCTCACCTTGGAATAAATTGATTCCTTTTATGCGCTGTTGTCAGGGCGGACGTACCATTAACTGAATTTGGCCAGAAAAATATCGGAGCGGTCAGCACAGCTGAGATCCCAGATTCATGGCAATGCCTTTCCGCTTTAACATAGCAGACAAAAAGAGTGCATAGATTGAGCGACACTGCCCCCTGTAGTCGCTAAGTGCGAACACGTTGTCGAAACACCAGGAACATTTTAGAGGCGTAGTTACACGCGCTGCACCTGTTGGCGTCGCCGGCAATAACGTTTCTAAGCCGAACGTTTCAAATAAATAGCACCTTACACGTGCGCTGGTCGAGGCCTTCTTATAGTAAGTTCTTTCAAAACTTTTATCTATGAAGGTAGGGCGAACGCGTGCGCCACGTGCACTTGCATTCCCAGCATTCTCCTTGGTGCTTAGGTAATGTGGATAAAGTTGTATTGGGGTGGTTTCTATTCATAAAAATTCAATTAAAATTATCACGGGATCCTGCTGTAGGCTAGACATTTCGTTAAATTACCCAAGCACCAAGGAGAATACTATGAACGTAACGACATGCGCAACACGTTCTCGCCTTTTTTATATAAGAAAAATTTCGAAGTATAAATAGTCAAAATAAGATGCTGAGAAACGCACGTGCAAGGTAACATTTCTTCTAACAATTTATTTTTGTTTTTTAACGGTTACTGCTGCATGCAGACGCTAACACATGTACCGCTTGTACTTACGTTCCCATCTTTCTTTTTGGTGCTTAGATAATTCAACAAAAGGCCTATTAGAAACAATGTGACTCAGTTCCTATATTTTTTCCCCGGATATATCCTCCAAGTATCCTACCAGAATGTGCTCATCACCGCCAGGGTGATGTTGTGTCGCGCCACCAGCTGAGCGGCTTCTGGGAATAAAACGTCGAAGCAGATGAACATGCCCACACGGGCGCCAAAGTCCGTCTCGAACACGGCCTCCTCGAAGGGCTCCGGAGTATCCAGCAGAACCTCACGAAACAGGTGATTCTTGTGGTACCTGCGTAACATGTGAATTCCAGAGCTAGAAATGGTTACCTCTTATGATATTCCATTTCCACTCAAAGTGTTCGGGGTTGCAATAAAATAAAGTTACAAATTCAGTTACATTTTTTAATGTGTTCATGGTTACTGACAGTTGCTTCTGAAATGGAGTACAGCTTTCCCACCTGGACACCAGGGTTCCGTCGCGGCCGAAGGCCACGTTTGTGTTGTAGAAGAGGACTCCGTCGGGTGGACACGAGGTCCTTCCGGTCGGGCAGGGCTTGTGGTCGTACACGTTGGCCACGACGTAGATGCGGTTGTCCCTCGCCAGGCAGCTCAGGGCTGCCAGGACAGGGGCGAGGTCCCCGCCTTCGAGACACGGCGACGCTCCGACATCCGGTATGTCTTCGGCGTGCATAGACAATTTCTGGCGGTCGTCCAGACCAAGCATGAGGCCCTTCTCGGGAAACACGATGATGTCGCATCCCTGTGGATACAGGAGAAAGAACCCATACACTCTCAGAAACAAAAGGTGTATTATTAAACCCTTTGTTCAATCTAACGCACACCAAAAGTTCAGTTCGACATAGAGCGCACTGACCTCGATCTGACGGTACTAACTTTCAAGAGAGGCTTGATAGCCGTGTGGTACAACCAGTCTTATACACGTTACTAAAAAAAAAGTAATCGATTACAGTTACTATTACTCTTGGCTAAAAAGTATTCGATTAGATTACTTGATTGCTCAGCGGCAAAATTAATTGGACATTACTGAAAGAAGTAATCGTTACTTTTCCGATTACTTTATTGTGTGAAGACACATCTTTAGCGCTCATAACAATGAACTACTTCCAACCTATATTTCACATTTGCACAAGTATTGAAGAAGAAAAACTGGCTCTCTCTTTGTGGTCGTTGCACCTTCACAATGCGGACACAAGCATAGAATTCGTTTGAAGACGTTTAATGATTTGGGCGTTCGCCAGTGTGAGTGTGTGTGTGTGTGGGGGGGGGGGGGGGGTTCTAGATCTTTTAGAGCGCAGCTCTTAGGGGCCCGTTTCCGGCTTGAGCGGCGTCGCCGTCGCCGTCGCCGCCGCCGTCGGCGTAACCGCGCGGTGCATCATGGGAAATGTCCCATAATGCACCGCGCGAGCCCCCCACCGGGGTCACGTGACCTCATGGGGGTCACGTGACCTCCCGAGGTCACGTGACCCCCCGGTCACGTGATTCCCCTGAGGTCACGTGAGCCCCTCCTCGAGGTCACGTGACCCCCGCCGATGTCGCGTGACCCCCCGATGACGTCATCGTCACTGATGACGTCACCGGCATCCACATCGTCATCGTCATCATCACTGATGACGTCACCGGCATCCACATCGTCATCGTCATCATCACTGATGACGTCACCGGCATCCACATCGTCATCGTCATCATCACTGATGACGTCACCGGCATCCACATCGTCATCGTCATCATCACTGATGACGTCACCGGCATCCGCATCGTCATCGTCATCATCACTGATGACGTCACCGGCATCCGCATCGTCATCGTCATCATCACTGATGACGTCACCGGCATCCACATCGTCATCGTCATCATCACTGATGACGTCACCGGCATCCACATCGTCATCGTCATCATCACTGATGACGTCACCGGCATCCACATCATCATCGTCATCATCACTGATGACGTCACCGGCATCCGCATCGTCATCGTCATCATCACTGATGACGTTACCGACATCCGCATTGTCATCGTCATCATCACTGATGACGTCATCAGTGACATCACTGATGTCGTCACCGGCATCCGCATCGTCATCGTCATCATCACTGATGACGTCATCAGCGACGTCACTGATGACGTCACCGACATTCGCATCGTCATCGTCATCATCACTGGTGAAGTCATCAGTGACGTCACTAATGACGTCATCGGTACCCGCATCGTCATCGTCACTGATGACGTCATCAGTGACGTCAGTGATGACATCGGCATTGGGGGTCACGTGACCCCCAAGGTCACGTGACCCCCCCCCCCTGGTTAGTTTAAGCCCCCCCCCCCCCAGTGCCCTTGCCTCCTGCTCCTCAAGAGCTGCGCTCTAATTCGCCGTTACAGGGAGTTGTAAGCGGCTTTCATTTTTTTAAGCTTGAGCAAGGGTTGTCGCTCAAAGTTTCCGTCGCTCATTTTATTATTCACATGTGGATAAGCTCGCATGTTATACAAAAGAGCACAGCTACAGGATTTGAAACGGATCATGTGTATAGTATCCATTAGCGGAAGAGATCGCCCCGACCACTTCTCAACTCGAAACATTGCTTGTCACAAATGGGGAAATATTTCAACTGCCTTTTTTATATTTTGCATCCGCTTTAGGCATTCTTCGGTTCTGGTTCTCCTACGGGCTGCGAGTAGGTACCCTAAGCAGGATTTTTTTATATATTTTTTTATTTCTGTGTGTGTGTGCGTGAGGGGGCTAGTTTGAATGAAGAACTTACAAAGCTACATTCTGCTTCCACAAACTTCGCCCTGAATGGCCTTTGTCAGGCACTGTGGCTTTCCTGGGGCTTCCCACTCCCAATCCCAGCTCGAAAAAAAAAAAAAAAAAAAGTACATTCCGCAGAAATTGTACATCGAAAGAGATTGACCTCGTTTCCTACAGCTCCGCAAAAATCTTTATTTTGTCCGTTCAAAAAAAAAAAAAAAAAAAGCAAATTTTATTTTTGTCATTTCATAAAAAAAAAGGCTTGTGCCGGGGGGGGGGGGGGGGGGGGGGGAGGTCCCGTGGACAAATTGTAACGGTTACAAGTAATTTTATTACTTCAAAAAGTAATCAGATTACGCTTGTGATTACTTCTCAATAAAATAATCAACTGATTACAAAATTACTCCAAAAAGTAATCGATTACAAGTAATTTGATTACTTGTAATGCGTACGGTACAAGTCTGGGTACAACTTACTAAAAATAGCTAATATACGTGTTACAGACTACAACAACAAAAAATAATCGGGGTTTTCTTGGCCCTACTGGAAAACCTTAGTGTTTTCTTTCTGTAGTCTTTGATATGTACTTTAGCTATTTAATAAGTTATATCGCACCGTTATTAAGCCCCTCGTAAAATTTAGACCGTCTGTTCGATTATAGTGCGCTGTACGCCGAATTGAAGTTTTGGGGTCCATTATATGGGACGAAGGGTGTAAGGTGATACCTTCATTTTTTTTGTGTACACCCCCATGAAGCGTAAATGAGTGTTTAGTTTTTTGTTTTTTTTTTTATTGAGCAATACTATGAGGGCATTTGGATCACGATGCTCACCCTAAAGCCGGAGTCACACTGCTTACACACCACACAAATGACGCGGTGTTCCCTGTAGACTTGGTGTTTTCTGCAGACCGGCGATGTCAAAAATATTTGGAGAAATGTCTCAAGAATCTTTGAAGAGACTTTGCTTTATACATATCTGTATGGTTAAAACATGTCTGCAGACTTTTTTTTATGACTAATATGACAGGACCGCCAGACAAGGCAGGGACACCTCAGGCTGTGTCTTCTTTTGTACCATGCATTAGCAGTGTGAACCTGGCTTCATAGAAGTAGGCAGAAAAATGGGCTCGTGTATGCAGTGAGTAAAAAAGTGGTAACAACATTCTTGTGGTTGGTCATGGTTGAAACAACCCCGAGACTGCGGATAAACGACACAACACTAAAAAGTCTCTGCAACATTCTTGACTTTTTGAACAACGAGAGCAGAGGCAGTTGACGAGTTGAGCTGTGATCATGATGTAGAAAACCCGAGACTGTATAGTTAATGAAGGGAGCTTGGTGGAAGAAAAATGACAGAGGAAGATGAAGACCTCAATTGAGACGTTCTTCTTACTCTGTCGTTTTTCTTCCACCAAGCTCCACTCTCTTACCACAGTCTCGGGTATTCTACGTCATGATCAACATCCACCAGCTCGCCTGCGCACTCTCTGTGTTTCCTTTGGGCTGAGAGTTGCGTTTAGAGCTGCTATCGAAAAATGTCAAGGCGGCTTAGTGGATCGATGAGTTTCCGGCTTGTTTGTACAATAGAGTTTGCCTCAATTCGTCTTAACTTGGGCCACGTGTCTGCGCATGGTAGTTTCAGAGAAAAGTAAGATATGGCACGGTGAGTATCGAATTGAAGTGGCAATTTGGGCCATTTGGTTCATCATCGCGTAGGTTGAGTGACAAAAAAAAAAAAACACCAGGACAAGAAAGTAGACAGTCAAGGGCGACCTTGTCTGTGTACTTTCTTGTTCCTGTGCTTTTGTTGCTGTTTTTTGCCCTTACTTTCGTGACCGAATTAAGCTGTCGCGGCAGCCACTTTGGAGCCTTGCGCCACCTCTCGGTGGCAGCTCTAAATGTAGCTCTTGTGAAAACTGTGCCACGAAATTTCGCGAGGTAAAATTCACCACTAAAATTAACCTCTACTTTAACTTTCAGCAGGCTGCGTACTTGCACCGACTGTTCGAGTTTTACAGCGAGATCAACATCACCCTGCGAAGTTGCCACGACTGTCGCGTTTGCCACAGGTTTATTTCATCCCCTCGATCGTTGGCTGGAGACGTCACAATCGTGTACGGCTCAGGATGGCCGCGATTTTTGCGATGCACAACCTGACATCAGAGATGCGTCGTACGCCTGTTTCAGGTAGTTCTGGCTATAGTTCTGGTTGTAGCTATGGCCTTTTTTTTCGTTTTTAGTCTTATAGGTTCAATATCTGGTATGCGGGACGAAACAAACTAATAAAACCTGTCAACCCGGAAAATGTGAGAAAATACAGGCGAGGCAAAAAGAGAAACGTGTGAAAATCTCTTTTTTTTTTTTTTTTTTTGTGAACACCCGTCAGCGGCGTGGAGAGATCAAACCGATGCTTTCACGGATAGCGCAAGTAACAAAAATTTAAGGTGGCTGCGCTCTTGCGGAAAAGGTGTATAGAATCGATTCGCCCAACCAGGGGGCGCTTCGAAATTGCGATGGTAGCGCCACCGCAGTACAACACATGGTCGTGTCGCGCCGGTCGTGCTCGTAGCGTTGCATTGGCGTCGCAGGTATTTCGAGCGTACGGTGAAGATTTAGAGAAGGATAGAAAGCGTGCGAGAAATATTTCTCATGGTGAGTCAAGAAACGATAGAAAAGCTTCATTAACACGCATCTTCCACCGAGAAAGCGGTTGATTTCCCCGCCAACGAGTCGGGTCCGCCTCGCAAGTACGGCCGTGCCGGCCGTGCGGCGTCTACGAGATAACTTTACAGGTGAGCGGCATTTGTTTAAATTTTACGCTGTAATAACATTGTGCCTTAAAGATTACTGATCACAATGAACCACTGTTCTCGTGAGTCCTGTTAGACGACGTCGGGATACTATTTTTCGGTCGCTGAACCACCGGCTGACTACGTTCTCGTACTAGAGGCTACGAGTGGGATAGCTTTCCGGGCTCGCCCACGTCGAAGAAATA